CGACTGGGCCACCGCCGCGCCTTAATGCTGCAGTCTCTTTTGTCGCGGCATCTGCCGCCAATGAGACTGTACCAGCTACGTCTCCGCCTCCGGTCACTTTTCTCCTTCCGCTCTCGCCTTCGGTCTCGCAAGGCTCTCCCCTCCCACACAGATCGGCCTGAGCCTCCGTCGCTGCTCCGCCCGAATCTCCGCGTTTGTCTCGATCACCGCCGTGGACCCTGACCCCGCCACTATCCCCTTTTCTTTTACCCTTATCCTTTTAAAAGGAACTAAAAATAATTACAAACACACTTGTTTTATATTACCAGCATCTATTACCGTCTTTAGACATTTCATTCCATTCCATTCTGATCAAAACTGTAGAAAGTAGCGGAACGTGAAACAATATTATTATTATTATCCTACAACATAAAAGGCAAAGGCTTCCTGCTTTAGCAGGGTTACAGTAGGTTGATAATTGTAAAATCACTAAAGTAAGTCATCCGAATCATCAAAACAATATAAAGCGAAACAAATAGTAGTTATACGAAACAATTGTGAAACAAATCAAAATAATATTATGATTTAATAAATAAGTTAGGCTGTTTATATCAGAAAAAATACAGTACGATACTTACATCTCATTCCAAAATTAAAATTCCAATAACGAACTTCAGGGGATTCAGTTTCATTTCACTGGGTTCTTGAAGTGGAGGAGCTTACAATGGGCCGTCGTCAGATTTCGACGACATTGGTTCAACGATGACTTTTAGCTTTCACTAGCATTCCCTTCCATTAAATGTTGATTTGACTAAGGCCACGTTTCTGTAAATTTTATTCAATAAACCTGAAAAAATCAAAACATTTCAGTTTGTGAAAGATTACAGAATACATCAAACCAAACGGACTTTGCACGGCTGTACGTACCTCTCTTTACGCTTTTCCCACATTTCCTTCGTAACTTTGTTTGCTGAAGTGGTCAAGAATCGGTATATTTTCTTTGATAAATTTCAGCAACATTACCTGGAGAAATATCAATTAAGTTAAACACATACATGAAATGGCTTGTCGATTGCGACAATATACTCCGGGTTTAAAAATACATAAAATGTTTCATTTACATTTGTACATTCATATTTCATTATAATATGTTGTAGACTCCTTCTCTGCACTCTGTTATGTGGTGCGTGTTAGTGTGTGTGTGTGTGTGTGTGTGTGTGTGTGTGTGAAGAAGTGTGAAAGGACAAAAAATAGGAAGAAAAGATCGCGCGTGGTCTGTGGCCCGTATGTACTGCTCTGGCATTCGCCTGTTATTGATCAGATAAACCGGGAAAACTACCGACCACAGCAGCCAGCTGCAATAATTCACCTCCAGACAGCGACATAACTCTACCTAGGTAAAATCCTGCCACCGTCGGAACTCGAACCTGGGACCTCCCGGTCAGAGGTACTACAGTGATATCAGTTGATGCCCTGAGCCACTACTTCCAATGGTGGGAAAGGGCGGTTGGTATGGTAACTGCGCAGCGCTTAATCCACGTTCACAATTCTCCATGTATCAAGAGGCTTTACTTATTCTTTAATCTAGAAGTAAATTTTACTCCATGTGTATCTGTGTGGTGGCGGTATCGGTGTTGCCCAGTTCCGCGTTGTCCGGAACCGATCCGAGCGGAGCGGTTTGCTGGACGACTAAGCGGAGAGGAACGGGGCTTAACCGGCCGCAGCATTCGCCCTGGTTTACGCGCAGGTCGTGCGAGATCGCTCTCGGAAACAGACTTTGCACTAGTCTCTGCCTCTGGCGCCGCTCGGGCAGCGTTCAAGCCGCGGTAGCACAGCGGCAATATTTTTGCGTCCGCAGCAACGTTCACCGGACGGTCCTATCGTTCACTCAGGAAATATTGTTGACTCTACCGTAATGTTCACCACGAGGTCCTAAGGTTCGATTCATGACGTTGGCGTATATTCGACACTAGAGACACTGGTCGAATTCAACCAGTCAGAAGGAGAATTCCCGTGACAAGCTTCTCTGTAAGGAAGTTTTCTGAGGTTTCACTCATCAATAACAACCGAATGTCGGAGCTCGAATATTCTAACAGATCACGGACCGTGCACTTTCCCCCTTCTTCATCCTTGCTCTCTCCTCTCTCCTCACACACACACACACACACACTTTAATCCACCACACTACCACATACATGAACTCTCGGCTTATCGGAAGGAAATTGTAGCCTTTGGGTTTATTCTTCAAAAATATACTTGAAATAACTCAATTAAAAGATTCTCATCAATGTGCACAAAGTGTTTACATTGTTCATTACATTCATTAATTCTAATACAAATTTTCTGTTTCTCATTTCATGATTAGAAAAACAGTCGATTCACAAACGTGCATTACATTTGTAAAAGTTTTTTAATTAGAACAAGAATATTTTTAGCGAACTTCTGTTACATAACGTTGTTACAATTTTAATATTACACAATGCCCTAAAAATGTTGCGAAACTCAGAAATTAAGATATATAAGATTAACAAAGTACTCATGTTACTTCTCCGCCTAGTGGCAAAGTGATGAACATGATAAATTAACTTTCTAAAAGATGTCAATTGTTACACTTTTTCTTTCTCGCATACGTAAGTATATACCAAGAAAAATATGATTACAGAGAAAGTTGTGTAATACTGCAGAAAATTGATTTCGAAATTTTAAACCGGCTGCGGTGGCTCAGGGTATCACATGACGACACTACAATGCCTCCGACCGGGAGGTCCTAGGGCTTCAGTGCTGACAGTGGCTTGAATGGTTTCGATCATTTTCTGTGAAGATGAACTCAACACTACGCAATTTTAGAAACTATATTTTCTTAAAATCATTCCAAATGTTCAACGGAAATGGGCGAATATGACAAATACACTCTTCTACCATATTTTTAAGGTAATGGTTAGTAAATTGCTACTGACATATTACTTTGAGTACTTTAAAAAATTATAGAAGAATATATTGACATATTTTTTAAAGTAATATATCAATTTTTCTATTACAAGGTCAATGGAAATTGATAAATTTTGAAATTATGTGTTTTAGGCCCCTTTATATGGCACAAAGGGTGTAGCAAAACGGAAAAGATAGCCAAGACGCAAGAAAATAGGAAACTAACGTCTGTGTTATTATGTAGCATCACTACTTAGAGATTCCTCTCTTTCAATCAATCTGTCTCCGGGTCCCATGTGTGAACTCATTGCGTGAAGGGAGATGAGTATTTCCGCGATTCGACCATAAACAATGTGTCCTACTTCTCATGAAAAGATTCCAAATTCGTGATGTGATGATGAGGGCAGGAGCCACTGAGGCAGTTTCCGAGAATAATTTAATAAGCATTGAATTGATATCTGAAACCATCATTAGTAACTCTTCTTGCAGATGCTCTTTAACGATCACAAAGCAGATATACATATCCTGTATCTCATTCATTGGAATTGCAGCGCCTTTCATGTACGCCAAAAAACCGTTAGGTAACATAACGTTGTGCATGTAGTAAAACATTCATTTTACTGCGAATATGAAATTAGTTAAATAAAGATTTGTCTTGGTAAAACTAGTTCAGCGAGTCTTATGTATTGACTTCACTTGCTTCAAAATTATTGATTTATACAAAATATTTATTATTAATGTGTTTGAGTCAAATGAAAACAAGTATTTATTTAAATATCCAGAATAAGTTTCATCTTGCAAAATTGCTTTAGAAGAAAATGAAAACAAAATTCAATACAAAAATATGTATCTGTAAAAACAAATAAAATTATACAGTTGGTATATGGACTATTTTGTTCTCTTTTGGGGGCACTGCCAACATTTTATTCTCTTAACCTCCGTAATGACTTGAATGATTGGACTTTACACTTCCAACATCTTTGTGTGACAAACTGAATTTTGAAGTAAAGAATAGGACAATCGCCAAGAGTGAAAAATAGTTTACACACAAAATGTGGTCACTCAAAGTTGTGTAAAATGGATGACGTAATTGAACGTTAGAAAGCTGCTGTAGTATTGTGTGACGATGCTACTTTAATCACAAATTGTCGATTATTTAAGCGGAAGGATTTAGGCACTTAAACAGACATTTAATTCATTTATTACAAGCGTTTGATTTCTAACAGGTTTATGTTAGTAGGCTCTTTCTGCTTCAGCCAAACATTCCCCAATTTTTCTTGATTCTCGGCAAAATGTACTCTAAAAACCAACGCAGTAAGATAATACTATAGTTTTGTACAAGTTTTAAGTCGCCATTGACACAAAGTAGTGTGACAGTAGGCAATTACTTCCAGGAACGCATCAAACAAATTTACGCCAAAAAAGTAGAATTTCTCAGATAATTTAACAGAAGCCCATCACCTAGTATCAGACTAGTTATTCTGCATCATGTTATTATTCTGCGTTACTTAGAAATGATGCGTCTTAGATCCTTGAAACTCCGATGAGAGAAGCGAAACATTTTTAAATATTCTATTGTATTTTCGGAGGGTTCTCCCATCAAAATATTCCAAAATTTTTGCACAGGTCTAAGTAGTTTTCTTTCAATAATGTTACATCTACAAACAAAGATGCATTGTTTTTCATTTTAAGTGACCTGACCGAAGTCGAAATGTAGAGAACTCAGAAGACCGTGATGCAAATTAAAAAAAAGTATTTAAAAATCATTGTGAACAAAATTCCTGGAATAATGGCAATATAAGTATAATTATTTTTGTATTGGTATGGAAAGCAAATTAGTTTACCAGACAATAGGCGATTAACATTTTATACTGCGTACATAGTATTTTCATTTTCAACATATACATTCAAGTCGTACAAACAGCATTTGATTTTTTACTGTTCTCAGTATAGGACATTATTTCAAAGAAATTACATTTAATATAGCACGAAGCCATTTCTACAAAAGTAAAAAAAAAACTGGTATCCTGGAATTCATTTTTTTTGCAATCTCACGAACTCTATTGTACATAGATATTGCAGCTCGGACCAACCGGTACTGCACGCGTTCTGCATGATGACGCCTCCTATCCCCTCCACTGGACGTACTCTCGCTGCTCCCCGCCCCGCCACTCCCCGGCTTCCGCCCTCGTTCTGCTGCGCCTCTTCCACCTCTGAAGAAGAAGAGGAGGAAGAAGGAGAAGAGGAAGAAGAAGAAGAGGAAGAAGAGGAAGCAGAAGAAGGAGAAGAGGAAGAAGAAGAGGAAGCAGAAGAGAGAGAGAAGAAGAAGAAGAGGAAGCAGAAGAGAGGAAGAAGAAGAAAGAAGAAGAAGAAGAGAAAGAAAGAAGAAGAAGAGGAGAAGGAGAAGAAGAAGAAGAGGGAGAAAGAAGAAGAGGAAGAAGAAGAGAAGAGAGAAGAGGAAGAAGAAGAAGAGGAAGAAGAAGAAGAGGAAGAAGAAGAAGAGGAAGAAGAAGAAGAGAAGCAGAGAAGGAGAAGAGAAGAAGAAGAAGAGGAAGCAGAAGAAGAAGAGGAAGAAGAGAAGCAAAGAAGAGGAAGAAGAAGAAGAGAAGAGGAAGAAGAAGAAGGGAAGAGAAGAGGAAGAGAAGAGAGAGGAAGAAGAAAAAGAGAAGAAAAGACGAGAAGAAGAAGAGAGGAAAAGGAAAGAAGAGAAGGAAGAGAAGAAGAAGAGGATGAGGAAAAAAGAGAAAGAAAGAATAGAGGAGAAGAAAGAAGAAGAGGAAGAAGAAGAGGAAGAAGAAGAGGAAGAAGAAGAGGAAGAAGAAGAGAGAGAAGAAGAGAGGAAGAGAAGAAGAGAAGAATAAAGAGAGAAGAAGGAAGAGAGAAGAAGAAGAGAAGAGAAGAGAAAGAAGGAAAGAAGAAGAAGAAGAAGATGAGAAGAGGAAGAAGAACAAGAGGAACAGAACACATGAAGTGGGTAACCTACACAGCCATACTAAACCCCGCTCCGCCCTACTCTCCCCACTCCGCACACTCCACCCGCTGCCGCCGAGTTCATAACGTCCGTTCTGTTTCATTCCCGCACCCGTTCTTCACAGTCTTCGCTTCCCCCGCTCGCCCCCTTTAGCCTCTTCGCTCTCCCCTCACCCAGCCCATCTGCCACTAGCACCGCTCCTCCCCTTTCACCACACTCCGTTCAACTCCCCGCCCGCTCGCATTCCGCACCGCTTTGCTCCGCGTCACCCCGCCTCGTGCCTGCCCCACCCTTCCCCGCCTGCGCACGCGGGGCGAGCATGCGTAGGGAAAGACGTGTCGCGGAAAGTTTTAATGAAACTACAGCACAAGAGGACGGGGGCGCGCCACGCACGACGCGGCGCGGTCGACGCAAAAAAAAAAAAAAAAAAAAAAAAAAAAAAAGACGAAGGGAAAGAGCGCAAGCGGGAGCTGGCGCGGGGGGGTGGGGGGTGGGGGGCAAAAATACGAGGCGCGCGCGCGCGTGTGAGCGCCCGCTGGGGCCGGCGGGACGCGAAAAGAGAGGCCGCTGCGAGGTGCAATCCGCGTCGAATAAATACTTCCTCCCCCCCCCGCGCAACTTAAAGCGGGCGCAGTAAAGAACACGGGCGTGAAGCGCGCGCGTCTACATCGCCCACGCCGGCGCACCGGCGAGGCGGCGCGCGGGCGCCGGGAAGAAAGCCGTAGTTATTCCAGGGCGCGCGAATCTTGTAAAAGTCACATTTGCATAAAAATTAATTAGGCCGGGAGTTATCTGGGCTATCGTCTCGACCTGTGTCTATTAATATCCGCCGTTGTGCACGCGTTTCCTTCCCTCCGCCTGCCCCCCCCCCACCCCCATTCCTCCTGGCGGCAGATAGGTGAGACTATCTTTAGCCGGGAGAGGCGAGTGGCGCCGTGCGCACAGGTAGAATCGCCCCTCGTGGATGTTCGGAATAACTTTCCGAATTCCGCGCTCCCCTTCTGCTTCGTCGCCGTACGCCGCTCCCCCCCCCCCCCCCTCCTCTAGATGCGAAACGAGTCGCGCTTGTGTTGGGAACATTGACTCTCGCGCAGCGTAGAGCGCTTCTGAATGCGAGAGTGGGTGCGCGAGGGAAGACTGCTGTAACTGATACGCGAATATACTTCGGCCCATTACGCCGCGAAGAGGGGTTCCGCAGGGCGGGACACTGAGTAGAGGGTGCAGTGTGTGGCTAATGGGATACGAGCAAATAAGGGAGTTCAAAAATGTTGAGGAGCGTTACAAAAAGAGTTAGACTCTGTCTATCCAATTGAAGAAATACGAGTAAATGAATTAATAGAATTTAGCATATCTAGCAGAGCTGCACTCTACTTAATTGTCTATAAAGGACTTTGAGCAGAAAAATTGTATAACTCGCCTGGGTTACTAATAACATAATTTCTTATCTCTTTGAGCACTTACTTAGTTAACAAATTTCCTTCCTTTCTCCACGAAATGATAAAACTTGTTCAAGAATAGAAACGGAATGAAAATATACCAGTTGTTCATAGTTCTTCGCACATGCAATAAGGAACTCTTAGCAATTCATCGCAAATTTGCCAATTCACATTTTTGCGTAACATAAATATTTAATGCAATTATACTTTTAAAAAATTTTTGAATACTGAAGTATACCAACATTTTGTAATAGCAGAATTAATAATCCTCGTCGATTAAAAATACATCCTGATTTTCAAAATCTACCAGAGGCTATCAAGATCTTAGATATCACTTTTCTATCTTTATGATACAGATTGTTAACCAGCTTTCGTGTTTGGCGGTAGAAGCTAACGCCCCCAGGTACCACCCCACTGGTACCTATTCCACGTGGCAATACTTGAACAACACAGTGTTACCAAATGTTGATCCCAAAACACGGCAAAAGGTTTCAATTTCAATTGTGATACGTGAAAAAATAGTGCATCGTGGTGCAGTGTCTATTACAAAAAGTTTAACCATGAAATAGTGTTTTTGTTAACGACCCGGGAAAACTACATTCTGGACGCCTTTCTCGAGAGTCATTCTCGAGAATAACTCACTTTCGTTAAAATAAGTGAGTCATTTGTCAGAGAAAGTGTAATTCGGGTTTAAATCAGAAAATTTTGGGTATGCTATTTGGCAGCAACCCGTGAACACTTCTGACAATTTCGTTTGTAAATTATTCACGAAATGATTGAGTCCGTCGTAAATTCCTCACGGGACAATCAGGAACTGCATCCCAGCGGACACGGAAACTTCATTAGGGCCCCGATTTGAAAGTATTGATATTGTGGTGAGGTTTCAATTGGCATTTACAAATGAAATAATTATACTAGTCGTCCATTGCCAACAATATTGTTTATTGGCAATAGCAGTTTCGAAGACTTCGCCATCATAATTAGTTTTCTAGTACAAGAAAAAAACATTAAAACGTGCATCAAAGAACAACATCATCATAGAATAAATAGATTACAAATAATTAAAAAAATAGAATTAACATTTTAAGAACTCGTAAGTGTAGTGCACGTTATAAAATGTGGTTCCCCCGACTACATACTGCATGCGAGGTTTCCCTACCAGGTATCTCCGCCAGTGGCGACTCTGCCGGGACATTCTAAGCTCTCGACTGGGTCTCCTGACGACGCGCTCGTCCAGTGTTAGCCCAACCATTTCATTCCAACCCAAACTGAATAGCCAATAATTTTGCCGTTCTTGAGGTATGAAAATCAAAAGTTGCCGCAGATCTTAGAAAGTAGGTAGAGCTTGTCATCAGGGTAAGGGGAGAGAAAGGTAATAGGAATAAGGAAAAAACTATTGCGCACTCTCTGTGCTTCCTTTGTTGGGATACTGTTCCAGAGCATTTTCCTGCCATTAATTGGAAATCACAGGAAAACTACCGCCAGCCCGCCGCTAGAATTCTCGTCCAGAACAGGACAGAATTTGATCCAGCTATGTACCTAATGTTGAAAATCAGCAGAGTAAGCTTAGTTTCCCTGCGAAATTGTGTAAGATGACCCTTGTTATGCTTCTGGACGTGGATGTAACCTCACTATCAGGCGCGTCTTCTAGAGTTCAGTGGGAAATATAGTTATTCAAATGATCGTTCTCCACGTGTGACAGGAAGTATAATTCCTTCACGGACCCAGTGAAGGAAACAATATAAATTACAGCTAATTTGCCCTAGAAAATATATTTTTTGCATAAATGAAATTTGTTTTCTCATTTGCGAAAACCCTAATTTATTTCGGTATTGAGAATTAAAACTTTTATATGGCTTATGGTGGAATCCCAGAATTAAGAGACGTGCGCGAATACACTTCTCTCCCTAGACACACACAAAGTTTTGTAACTGTTTTTGGACAAAAATAAAATATAAATAAATCAAATAAATAAATAAATAAATAAATAAATAAAAATAAAATAAATAAAAAAAAAAATAAATATAATAAATAAATAAATAAAATAAATAAATACAATAAATAAAATAAAATAACATAAAACATTAGCACCTTCCAGGCAGTGTTGCTGCACTGGTAGCACTGCCCTCAGCCGACACAACCGCCGGTGGGGGGATGCAGGGAGCGTGGCTGGTCATGCAAACTCCTCCGCAGAAA